ACACAGAAGAAAACTCCATGAATCGACTATGACAAATTATTAATTCACCAACCAGCTATTTCAAGCCAAAACTATCTCATGCTACTATTAAAGACCTATATTGCTTTCAGGTTTAAAAACTGCAAAAACTAATCATCACCAGTCAGCCGTGTTCCAGAATTAAAACAAGAGTATACTCATGACTGGTCAGTAAAGAGTTATAAATAGATTTCAACTTTGGTCTGACTGCTATTTATGAATTTGTAAAAGCCCTTTGCCAAGCAAAAGACTGGGATGCAAAACTATGTTCAACAATTTGGAGATGGATAGTAATAGTGGTTGTAAAAAAAACACAAAGCATATAATCAACAGCACTGAATTATACATGTAGCAGTTATTGAATTGGAGAATGTTTTGTTGTGTATATTTTTGCCAAAATTGAAAAAAGACAAAAATAACAATGAGTACAAGGGAGAGGAAAATGCTCTAAAATTGATTGTGGTAAAGATTATACAGCTCTTCTTGATAAAAAAAGAAAGAAAATAGGTTTAATAGCCCTTGTTTTCTGAGAGCTTGAAAATTAAACCATAAAAATCACATAGAAAGCATATTAGTAATTATAAGAATTCCATCTATGGAAATCCTGTGTGGCATGTATTATTGTACTGAATTCATACAATAGATTTATAACTTATACAATGAAATAGATGTTCAGAGAAGTAAAACTGTTTAGCAAAGATATGCAAGTAATCAATGCAAAGGCTTCCTGTTGTATTATGTGAATGGTTCTTAAAGGTACTTATGTGTATATCTGCAAAACAAAAAGAGAAAAGAAAAACTCTACAACATTAAAATAATTATCTGTGTGTTAGGCTAGATGTCCTAGAGAAACAAAACAGAGATGCATATGTGTGTGTAGAAAAAAATTTATACCAAGAAATGGCTCACACACTTGTAGAAGCAGGTAAGTCCAGTCCAGTTCAAGTTCATGGGTGAGTTATTAAGCTAGAGGCGTATCCTGACTCATGAGGCTGCAGAGGCTTAATGACTCAGGAAGGAGAATGATGAAGCAGTAAGATCACAGACTGGTGGATGCAATATTGAATAATCCAAAGCCAGTGGTCGACTGATGGCTCCTGGGAGGTAAATGAATCAGATGCAGGATCCAGATCCAGCAGCGTTTCAAGCTTTCCCACCGTGTCTGCTTAAAAGAAGTAGGCAACACCTTTGTCTAGACTTTCTTCCAATTGCATAAAGGCTAAGACCTTGTCAAAGGGCTATATGCCACTATCTGCTCAGAGCTGACTAAGTTATAGTATCTGCTCAGGGCTGACTAAGTTATAGTAGATCCCACTATGGAATTGATGACATTGTTATATCACATCATGGGAGATTACTACCAAACTACTGAGAACCCTGACCCACCCAAGTTGCCACAAAGTCTAGCACAAGCAGTAAGCCCCATCTTGGCAATTGGGAATTTATACACATATAAGCATGAGCATGCAAGAACAGCATTTAAATCACTGTTTCTGCTACTTTATTTGTAGCTGATATGGAGCAACTTACCATTGTTTAAGTTGATATTTAATATTCATGTAAGCTCTACTAGCTAAAGACTCTAAATAAAAGTGACCAAAGGATCATACACAGTAAAGATCCAATTTAAGTGCTTAAAAATGCTTATTCATTTCATGATAATTATGACAATAGGAGGAGTAACTAAAAAGCAATTGCATACATAAAGTATCAATTCATAGCTTATAAGCAAAGAGGATTTGACTGCCTAGTCTTTTCCTTTCCTAAAAGGAAAGCAATGGACTTCCAGGCAAAGGCATGAGAACCATGTGTATATGAAATGTTTAATATGTTTGCAAGCAACAGCCAGGACAGTGGTCTTAGAACCAATTGAGTTTATGGGAATAAAAGAAAGTTAATTTAGAAAGAATAGGTTTTGTTGTCACAGAGGTGCTAGGTCATTGGGAGGTAGCCTCTTAAAGTTGTGGTATAGGTTTTTCTTTTTTTTCAGAAAATGAGACCCAGGATCGATGAACCTACAGGTTTAGTAAGTAGAACAAGGGTTTTGGCTGGGGATGGGGGTACAATGGAGACAATATCAAGGAGTCCAGGGAGAAAAGGTATGTTTGGAAACTGATTATGGAAGCAAGGGAACAAATCTGCTTGATGTGATTTACCTGTGGAATGATATGGCATTTGTATTAACGCCAATAATAAAAGAAAAATAACAACACCACCAACAAAAAACGCAGATCCCAGGAATGGATTTGGGGCTTACGCTAAAACTAGCTCCAATTTAAGAATAATTATTTCTTCCATGATGACCTTGCTCGATACTCCCCCTCAGGAAAGGAATACAGAAGATATGGGTGCTATAGCAAAATGTGGTGAAGAAACTACATGGTGCCCGGCTATTAGATAAAATAGCATCTGGGGTCTTCTAAGCCTGTCTCCAAACAAGCAGCCATCTAAGTGAGATGTCAACTAGGTACAAGTGGAAGATGCACACCATCATCAGTCACAAAAGGATTCTAAATCATATCATCTGAGTCAAAGGAGGGATTAGTATCAGAGCCTACAGTGTGAGCATCCGGCTTGCAGAAGGCTGTGGATGACAGTGGGAGCCCAAGATTCATTTGTGGAACTATGGAGGAAATAAGCCTCCAGTGAGCAACCTCTATCCACAATTGAGGGATAGCAGGGAAGTGGTAACTAAACAGAGTGCACTAGCATTGAGTCTAGAAGATCAACGGCATAAATCTGATTTGAACAGTTAAAACTTAGTCAGCAGATCCTCCCTAGGATGCATGCTGGACCTGATCTGGTTCCCAGAATGTTCTGTATATTTGGTTTGTATTGTTCTGTTTGTTTTTTGTTTGTTCATATTAGGGTGTCTCTCACAGGCGTTATGCCACAGGGGTTCACCCTCTTGAAGTTGTGTTATATATTTTTCCATATATGAAATCCAGGATTGATGAACCTATAGAGATAGCAAGTCGAATAAGGGTTACGGGAGGAGAGGTACACTGATGGTGGTAGGTTGTAAAAGGGAGACAATACCAAGGAGTCCATGTAGAAAAAGAAAGTTTGACAAACTGATTGTGATTGCAACTGTACAGTTCTGCCTGACATGACTGAACTATGGAACGATATGGTATATGGATTAAATCTCAATTAACAAAAAAGAAAATGGGACAAGTTTTTAAAAGTCCATATATTCCATATATAACAGAAATTGTTGTAATCTGTAGGCTATATAAATATATAAACAGTTGTCTATTGTGTTCACCTCTTTATTTTTAAATGACATCTAGTTATGGATGAATTGTCAGAGAACTAACCTCAGACCAACCAGTAAAGCTACACAACAGTTGTCAACAGTCTGGACTATGAATGAGTCAATGAAGCGGGAGGAGGAGACATATTTCAAAGTTGATTCAGATATGGAGTTTATAAGGAAGTTGGTGACCAGTTGAATTGATTGACGAGGAAGTAGAAAATGGCTGTGAAATTTCTTGTTAGGAAAGGCAGGAAGAGGAATGAATAGGTTAGAATTGTAGTATTTGACCTGACATTTTGAGTTTGAAAAAGCAGTATGAAAGGAAATGTGAAGATACCCATTAAGCAATGAAAAATAATGATTGGAACTCAGCCACGGAGTCCGCACTCAATAATTAGATTTGGCACGTATTCAGAAAAAAATGTGGAAAATGCAATTCCTAGAGAGAATATGTAAAATGAGAACGGGGATTATCACAACTTGAGGGCTAGTTAGGTAACTAGGAGTCAGCAAAATGGATTCAAGGACTAGTTACAGATCAAAACCAAGCAATCATGGTTTTATAGAAATGGAATGTGAATGTGAATTGCATAAAACAAAGAGGCTTAACAATATATTTGTGATAAGAATTATTTGGATTAGGATCTGCTAAAAGTATCCATTTTTCAAGGAGTCTTCAGTGAATAAACTTGTCTCAAATTATTTTGTTTTTGAAGAATTTACACATTATTATAACTATAGTTTAATATAAAGCTCATAAAATTATTTAAAACATAAGTCAACAGATCCATTTCCATTTTTAAATATCCTAAAGAGTAAGTAACTAATACATTTTTCTATAATAGGTATCACAGACACCACATTTGTAGGAAATTAAACATCAAAAAATGCATGGCTATTCATCATTAGAGAGCTTCTTTAAACTTCAGCGAGGAAACAAAACAATATAAACATTGTATTAATAGATTTAAATTGAAATAAAATGCCTCATTTGCTTCATCTCCTAATAGTACTCTTAGCACTATTGGAGACGATCACCAAACACATGCATATTGTTATTATCCTAATAGTACTTTTAGCACTATTGGAGACGATCACCAAATACATGCATGTTGTTATTAGTTGCTGTCAAGTCAATTCCAACTCACGGTGACCCATGACCCATAGGGCTTTCAAATCTGTAAACTTGCCCACATCTTTGAAAGAAGAACTCAACTTTATTAAAGGCAAAGAAACAAAGACACATAATTAAGCCTCCGATGAGACCCCTCTGACCATATTCCAGAGATATGAATAGCCTTGCTGTTGGACAACTATTCTGTTTTATTTGGAACAAGAGGGATTCCTTGGGAAATAGGACTTCTTTTTTTTTTTTTTTTAAACCAGGACAGCCTAAGCAAAGTGAGATGTGGGACTTCCAATGCTAAATCCAGGCATGTCCCAGTGAAACTTGAACAACAAAGTTTTGTGACTGATCCTAACCTCGGGTCTTAATGATTTTTACTGGAGTATTAGGCATTTACTGTACCCTGCCCTCCCAACCTAGAGTACTTGTTTCTTACCAATTGAAAGCATGATATGTTCTAATCTCAGGGCAGAAATAAAGATAGCAGGTCAGCTAGCTCAGTTTTAGATTTTCAATTGTATAGTTGGCATTTATGTTGTTTTCTTTTCTTCCTGAGCGATGGATAACAAACATATTTTGGTTCTTTTCCAAAACCAGCTTCATTGTGCAAGCCACAGATACAGGGGTGCCCCAGCTTTCTGCTACAAGTATGGTGAAGATACAAGTGACTGATATAAACGACAATGCCCCACTTTTTCTCCCCTTCAAAGCCGTGGAAGTGGCAGAAAGTAAGTTTGGTAAAGAAGAAAGGTGGTTTTGATGAACTTTCATAACATCTGCCATTTGTATTTCAGCCAAACCCTATATTGTATAAGAATACTAATCCTCAAAAATCATGCAAGACAAGTAAGTTTTATCTTCATTTAAAAAATAGGAAATGAAAGATCAGAAGTAAAATATCAAATGTCGATGAAGTTAAGTATCAAAGCTGGAATTTGCCTTTGCATCATTGGGTCTTTTTCTCATGTTTTGCCCAGTCTTCTACACAGCTGCCATTTTTGTTCACTTTTTTCATTAAGCATTGAAGCATTTGCAAATAGCTTATAGAAGTACACCACAAAGAACCATATTTGTTGACTGAACACTTATGAGGCTCTTCTGGTATGCAATAATTTTGTTTGTCTCATAACATTGTCATTTTTTGCAGTCTAGTAATGGCGAAAATGAGTTGAAATTTGGTTGCATCCAGTGCTGTTTCCCCTAGAAATCAATATTAGAAGAGAGTTTTATCACGTCAATTGTAAAGGTTGAAAATATAAAGTTTAAGTGATACTTTAGTTAATCTGTATTGATTGAGTCTATATGATGATTCAGAGAGTTCTGGTGGCATAGCTGATTAAGTGTTTGAAATGAAAGGTTGGCGGTTCAAACCCACCAACAGCTCGATGGGAATGAGATGAATCTGTTTGCTCTTATAAAGACAGACAGACTGTCTCAGAGACCTTACGGAACAGCTTTGTTCTGCCCTGCAGGGTCTCTGTAAATTGGAATCAACGAAAATAAAATGGGTTTTTGGTGGCGTGGTTACGGGTTGGACCACGATTCTCATGGTCAACAGTTTGAAAACAGCAGCAGCTCTGAGGGAGAGAGATGGGCTTTCTACTCCCTTAAACAGTCTTGGAACCCTGGGAGTCGGTGTGGACTCCACGGCAGTGACTTTAGTTTGAAAGTTTGGTAGGTCCCCATATATATCCCCTTTTCAGGGGTAAAACACACAAACACACATACATTACTCATTACCTCCCTGGCAATTAAAATATTTTGTATGTCCATAATCCAGGATAAAGTGTAGATAACTAACTTTGTAGTCTCCCCTTCATTCCAGATTCCAGTGCATGTGCCCCCGCCAAAGGGGGCAGTGTTGCCCACTTTATGAAACACTGGGTAGGATGACTGTAGTGGATGACCTGAAGTTGTCAGTGGTCAATGGGTGTGCTGGTAAAACGGAATCCAGCTCATGGAGGTTGATAATGGTGGCTCTTCTCTTGCATCTTCTCCTTCTTATACTCTTAATACCCAAAATGTTCCTGATATTTTGTTACATTCACTTTCCACACAAATTATAAATTATGACTGCTCATAGAAGCATGCATTTCAGATACCTCCACACATAGGAATCTCTACATAGGTTGTGATTGTTAGGAGCCATTGAGCTGGTTCCAACTCATAGAGATCCTATGTACAGCAGAATAAAACGCTGCTGGACTGCACCATTCTCACAACTGCAGTTATGTTTGAGCCCATTGTTGTGCCACTGTGTCAATCCATGCAAATATTGTAGTCTACCAATAAAAAATTCTTCTACCTTGCCTTTCACCTGTTTGACATATTTCCATTTATCTTTATTGAAAATACTATTTTAAAGACATGTTTTATTGTTTAAATGCAGCTATGTACTTAATCTATCACAAGAACAAACCATATAAATCATAACATGCTAAATGGGGGAAGGCATGGTTCATATACATCAAGAATGATGGAGTTTAAAATCTGAAATTTATGAGTTTCAACTACATTGTGAGTCTCTCCGTGTTCTTTCCACCTGCATCAGATCTATCAGCTTAATGCTGAAGTCCCTTACATGGGCAGGTTAGGCTGGGGAACACATATGGTACATGAAATATTGAGCTTATCATGAGATAGTTTGTGACTCTTTGGTGAATAACATTTATAGATTTGCTCTCATCAGCAATTTGTTTTTTGAAAATCTTGATCATTTTCAATTTTGGATTTGAAATGAAGGAAGCTATCTATGTATGTGATATTCCAAAAGAAATAAATCATAAAAAATGATTATAAGGAAATAAGTATCTTTAACTTCATCATCCAAATATTTTCATTTAAATCTTGCCTATTGCTCAAATGTGTATTAAATTTTTAAGCAATAACTTTCCTCCCATCCATTTCCTGCATAAACAGATCATTCTGATGCATAAACTATATCGTGTAAATAAGTGGTTTACAATGGTTCTTGGTCCTAGCATTAATTAAGTTGTAAGAAGATGATGAAAAATTGTAATATAAAAATCAAATATACTTAACCTCTCAATTTTACACCCAGTAGTACATTTTGGGGTGTTTTTATTTTCTCATAACTTCTTCAGAGTTTTTGTTCAGTTCATAACAAACTATGCATCAGAGATCATGCCAAGAAACAGCAAGCCACGTTGAACTTAAAATGAAAAGGCTTGAATTGAACTATTAAAGGAACACATTTCAAAGGATGTCCTTTAATGGAGGCTGACATGGGTCGTGATTATTTCAGATTCTTTGCCTGGTGTACTTGTGACTCGGGTGTCAGTTCATGATGTGGATTTGGATCCAGCTTTCCTCTTCAGTTTCCCCGAAGAGAGCCATCCTGGAACCAAGTTTGCTATTGATCAAAATACTGGAATAGTGAGGCTGGTGGAAACATTGGATTTTGAAGACACGATTGAATATAAACTGCTCATTCAAGTTTCGGATTCGGTGCACAGCACAGAAGGAATTCTCACGGTCCGCGTGTTGGATGTTAATGATAACCCACCAGTGTTTTCCCAAGATTTCTATCAGGTAAAGGGCTTATAGGGATACTGAACCAAAGCGCAAACCAGAAAGAACAATATAGGATTTCCAATGTTGGAAGAAAAAAACAGATAAAGTAGATTCACTATTTTTAGTGCTGAATTCAATGCTGCAGGAGCGTTGGTGGCATAGCGCATTTACACATTGAACTGCTAACTACAAGGTCAATAGATTGAACCCCGTAATTGCTCTTTGGGAGAAAGATACAGGCTGTGTGTCTATAAAGAATTAAAACTCTCAGAAATCCAAAGGGATAGTTTCCCTCTGCCCTGTCGGGTTGCTGTGAGTTGGAATTAATTTGAAGGCCGTGGATAAGTTAATGCTGTGGGTTTTATGTTTGTTGTCATGGAAACTATATGATAATTTAAATACGTATGGAATTGAATGCAAACATGCCTCCAAAAGATTGTGGTTTTAGTTCCAGACCACCACAATAAAATGAGTGTCGTGATAAAATGAGTCATATGAATTTCTTTAGTTCTCCAGTGTTTACAAAAGTTATGCTTACACGTTATTGTAGTCTATTACATGTGCAATACAATTATGAACAAATAAAGTATTGTTCTCATTAACAAAATGTGACACAGAGACGCGTGTTGTTGGGAACAATGGTACCAATAGACTAGCTTGGTGTACAATCAATTGTGAAAACCTTAAAACCTTCTAAGCGCAATAAAGCAAAGTACCATAAAATGAGGTATGCCTGCATTTAATTGATTTAAGTTCATTAAGTGTTATATTATTAATTTTTAGTTATTAGACAGTCCAATTGTTAGTAACAATTAGATCTTGCCAGGCATTTGTAAAGCCATCGATACATAATAAAGTGAGGATTGCCTACAAATCAGGGACATTCTTTTCTAGGCAAATTTTGAAATAGGTTGATCAGCATCTTGCAGAGACAGGCTATGGATAAACTGTAGAGTGGTTAATTTGAGTTTTTAAAGCATAGTGTATGTTTCTAAAAGTAGGAACAATGGCAAGTTTCAACTGAGCTACTAGATGGCAACTAACAACAAGCACATGGAAATGGGCCCCAGGATTCTTGAATAAAACAAATGGAAGATTTAACTGTAAACATAGGCGGAGAACTGTCTTAAGTAATGATACGCTATGAAGACTTGTTTGAAACATTCTAGCAGTGAATATTAACTCTTTTCTACTGCATAGAAATGCATTAGAAGTTTTTCCAAATGAGAATTAAAATGGAATGAAATTAAATTTTTGTTTTGTTCTTCCAAACCCCAGAACTACGAACGCAATCTTTTAAATATGTCAACCCTGCAAATTAATATGCCTCATAAAGTCAGATTCTGGGGATATTTCCTACAATCAAAATGACTAAAATTTCATATTCTCTCCATAGTTATGAAAATATCTTTAGTCTTTAAGCAAAATGTTCTTCTCGCCCTCAACCCCAAGGTCACAGTTCCTGAGTCGGTACCTGTGGGGTACCCAGTGCTGACCGTGACAGCCACTGACTTGGACAGCAGCACTAACCTTTCTTACAGAATCCTTTCTGCTTCTGAGGGACTCTCAATTGACCCCGTGAATGGTGAGTTATTTATAGTGACTTTAGTGCTCACAGAGAGAGAATGAAAATAAACCTTTCCCAGATGCTCTGAAAAATACCCTCCCACCTCTACAGTTTGGAAGTACAGACACCATCTTCTTTATCCTCTGTACAGCAAATGTTGAACTAGCAGCGCTCTGACTTATTTATCTTCTCCACAACATTTCAGCGATGGCTAGAAACCAAAAGGAGCTAATTACATGCTTATACATTCAGAGACCCCAATATATTAACCACCCTGTCCGTTTGTCTAGCTGAACAGATTTCAAGTAATTATCCCAGGCCTCACCTAGAATAAAAATGAAGTTTAAGGGTTCATTTTGGCGAGATTCAAATAATTTTACAATGTTTACCACCCTAATGACTGTTTTAAGTTAAATATATGTAGATACACCGACATGTAGTTGCTTATTTCATACAGTTAATACTTAAATAAAAACCATAAAAGAGGTACACAAAATTAGATCCTAAGTTTTAAAATAGTAATGAAACAATGCCAATTAAAGTACAATATTACAAATAGATTGAACATGAAACACTGACAGTAAGGTGTGTGGGGCAAGAGAGGCATGGTGTTTTTTGCCAAACACTGGCACGCTGAGATGGCTGTGTAAGCAGGTGCATTGTTATGTTGGCAAAACCAGTCCCCTGTCTGCCACAAACCAGGCCTTTTTTGTTATCTTTTCAGAACCTCTAAATAGAAAGTTTGATTAACAGTCTGACCTGGTGGGACAAACTCTAAATGCACTACAAGTTGATATTTTTGTCCGTTAGGGAAGTTGACAGGTATCCAGAACAAGGTTTATCATCAATTGACAATTCACCTTTAAAAAAAAAAAACTTTTATTGGGGCCTCTTACATTTCTTATCACAATCCATGCATTCCTCCAGTGTGTCAAGCACATTTGCACATATGCCACCATCATCATTTTCAAAGCATTCTTTTCCCACTTGAGCCCCTGATTTGAGCTCCCTATTTCTTCCCCATCCCTCCTTGGCCCATGCTCCCTTACAATCCCCTGATAAATTATAGATTGTTTTTTCCATATCTTACATCATCCTCCGTTGCCCCTCACCCACTTTTCTGTTATTCATCCCCCTGGGAGGGTGTTCTAGTTTGATCCTTTTGATTGATTTCCTCCTTTCTCCCCCCACCCTCCCCTAAACCTCCTGGTATCTCTAGTCTCCTTATTGACCCTGAGGGGCTTCTATTCTGGATTCCCTGTGTTGTGGGCTCTTATCTGTAGCAGTGAGCATGTTCTGGTCCAATGCGATTTGTAAGGAAGAAATGAGGTCATGATAGTGGGGGGAAGAAAGCACCAAAGAACTAGAGGAAAGCTCTGTGTTTAATAGGTACTATACTGCACCCTGACTAGCTCATCTCTTCCTTGTGACCCCTCTGTGAGGGGATGTCCAATTGTCTACAGATGGGCATTGGGTCTCCACTCCATACACCAACACCCCCTTCACCTTGGGCATGGTTTTATTCTGGGTCTTAGATGCCTGATACCTGATCCCATCAACACCTCATGATCACACAGGCTGGTGTGCTTCTTCCATGTGGGCTTTGTTGCTTCTCAGATAGATGGCCTCTTGTTTATCCTCAAGTCTTTAAGACCCCAGACACTATATCTTTGGATAGCTGGGCACCATCAGCTTTCTTCACCACATTTGCTTATACACCCATTTCATCTTCAGCGATCGTGTTGGGAAGGTGAGCATCACAGAATGCTGAATTGTTAGAACAAAGTGTTCTTGTGTTACGGGGGTACTTTAGTCGAGGCCAAATGTCCCTCTGCAACCTTAATTCTTAACATATAGATATGAGTACATAGTTCTATTCCCCTCTCATTATATATATGATTACATATGTACAAGCCTGTATTTAGGCCTCTATAAATGTCCTTTGCCTTCTGGTTATTTCATGTTTCCTTTTTCACTTTCCTCTTGTACCACCATCATGTTTGGCCTTCATTCGGGTTTAGTAATTCCTCACTGCTACATTGCCCTTGATTGGGCCCCACGAGGCATCCTACGACCTTCCTTCCATTGATTTTAGTTCACTTGTTGTTCCCTTGCCCCTGGGTTGGTCCCCTCCTTCCATTCTCCCACCTCCCTTTCTCCTGTACCCCCCAAGGACGATGTTCCTGACAACGCATAGGGAGACCGTAGGGCCAGCCCCACTACAGGACATGGCATCCCTCACTGAACCATGACACTGTAGGGGACAGCACTGGAGATACTGTGCAGGAATAGTGCATGGTCTGGCCCCATCATGCTTGGGCGAGGCACTGAGGGCATGCAGTGGAGCAGCAGGGGGAGCAGACTGATGAAACCCCGAGGAAATATAAAAAATAGACTTGGGAGACAGAGGATGGCACCCCATCAGACTCAACTGGAAAACACTCGGACAACAAACAGACCTTGAACTATTTATAGGCTTTCCCATTTTTGTCAGTGGCTTTCTTTTTGTTATTGTTATTTTGTTTGCTTTTCGCTATTGTTGTTATTGTTTTGTTGGTTTTGACTTCCTTTGTTATTTTATTTTGCTCTTCCTGGTTTTTGCACTTAATATATCTGCATGTCTATCTAGATAAGATAGGTGGGATAAATAATTTGGAGATGAAAAGAACAGGACCAATTCATCTTTTCTGAAATAAGAAAACCACCCATACACTTGAGTTTTTCCCATCGCTCTGTCCTTGTAAGCTGTGTTCCACATCACAACAGTTTCTGAAGCATTTCCCGACTACAAAACACAATTCCACAGCCACACACTGTTCTTTTAAATCAGCTGTTACACAAAACAAGGTTTCGAGTGAAATTGATTTTCCAAAAAAAATTCGCTGTGACCAGAGAGAACCTTCCCTGGTGACGCCACTGGGTACACTAACTCAAGCAAGTTGCTCGATGCTCGTCTAACAGGAAAAATGTGTACTGCAAAAGCCCCACCCCACCCATCACAATTCTGATTTGGGGGGAGTGGTTCCACCTCGTTTTATAATATTTCCTACTTCCAATTGACAAGAGTAAGTATCGATTCGTCTACAGAATAAATACTCTCATGCTAGGATATCTCTATAAAAGTGCATGTGAATAGTAGGACAAAGTATAAAATTTTAAACAAGAATATGTTGAATCTGACTTGAACAGTTAAAACTTTTTCAGATAGTTGATCCCCCTCTGAGACATGCTGACCTGATCTAGCTTTCAGCATTTTCTGTATTTTTTGTTTGTTTATTCATATTAGGGTGTATCTCGGAGGTGCTGTGTAATTGGAATTCACCCTCGTGAAGTTGTGTTATATGTTTGTGTGTGTATTTCGGTATATGAAACCCAGGATTAAGGAAGTTATAGGGATATCAATTAGGATGAGGGTTTCAGGTGGGGAGGGTACAGTGATAGGGGCTTGTTAGAGGGGAGAAGATGTCAAGGAGAACATGAAGAAAAATAATATTTGGAAACGGATTATGGTAGTAATTGTACAATTCTGATTGACGTGATGTGATTGTACTATGAAATGATATGATATATATATATTAACTCCCAATTAATAATAATTTTTAAAGAATATTTTAATTCTCTTAAAAATTAGTAGTGAAACCGCTTACTAAACAAAAGAGAAATTTGTGGCATAAATGAAAGATACCATAGATATTATCTCTGTTTCAAATGTTACACATTTATGAGTACAATAACTACATTTCTATGGAGTATCTATTGATCCTTGTTTAGATAGCAATTTTAATTAAACTAAACCCACTAGTAGCTATTCAGTAAATAAGCAGCCCAGGTGGTATAGTGGGATATACACTGAACTGCTAACCACAAAGCCAGAAGTTCAAATCCACCAGCTTCTCCATTACAGCAAGATGAGGCTGTCTACTCCCATAAAGATTTAACGACTCAGAAACTCAAAGGGAAAGCCCTCCCCTGCCCTACAGGATTACTATGAGTTGTAATTGACTCCATGGCTGCATTTGACTGGGTGAATTAGAGAAACAAATCCAGGGACACTCATGTATGTGTAAGAGAGAGCTTTGTATCAAGAAGTATCTATCAAGCAAACATCCCAGCCCATCCCAAATTAAGTCCATAAATCTGATACTACTCCGTAAATCCCTCTTCAGACTCACCCAGCCACACGCAATGATGCAGAAGGCTGGTGGGTGCAATGTCTTGTAGATACAATGGCAGTGGATGCACCTACAGGGCTCTGACTGTCATCAGTGTGGCTAGAAGTGGCTCATCTGCAGGAACAATAAGCAGAGAGAGAGAGAGAGAAAGAGTGTGGCCCACCTCCACAATCCAGGGAGAAAGAAAAAGATGCTGGCCTGAAATAAACATGTATCTCAGTCACCTTCCAATCAAGCTGCAGCCTGATTGATAGGCTAAACTCCACCCACATATTCCTATGGGTGTCATGTTAGCACACACAAAAACTATCATAGCCCACCCCTTTACTCTTATACTTTCAAGTTGATATGAGATGATGTAACTATCACAATGGCAATGAGACTATTGACTGCATGGATAATGAAAATTTAATTTCACAAGTGATATTTCTTGTTTTTCAGGTACAATATTTACCATCCATCCCGCACGGCTTTTGAATGAAATATCACCGATCCGATTTCTTGTTGAAGCCAGTGATGGTGGAACCCCTGAGCTAAGGGCTCTTGCATTAGTAGAGATAGAGATTCAAGATGTGAACAATCACCCCCCTGAGTTTACAGTAGAATATTACAATCTTAGCTTGAGTGAAGATACTTTAATTGGAGGCACACTTGTCACATTTTCAACCTTTGACCATGACTGGACCCGAGAAAACACACATGCTGATTATTTCATCATCAGTGGTAATTCGCAGAAACATTTCCATTTAGAAACTAGTTTTATCCATCCAGAAAATCCTTATACTCAAGTTGGTCATCTTGTATTGCTTCACAATTTGGACAGAGAAGCAACTCCCAATCATCAGCTTGTTATTCTAGCATCTGACCATGGCTATCCTCCATTGAGTTCCACAGCCATAATATCAATAGAAGTACTTGATGTCAATGATAATCCGCCAAAATTCACCCATCCAGAATATTATGTGCACATCAAGGAGAGTACACCATTGGGAAGTCACATTTCTGTGGTCTCAGCAAATGACTGTGACTTGGGTTCAAATGCCGAAATCATCTACCACATAATCTCTGGAAATGAGAAGGGGAACTTTCAGCTAGAAGAAAAAACTGGGATTCTCTATTTAATTAAACCTTTGGATTATGAGGAAACAATAAAATTCACTTTAACCGTGCAAGCTTCAGATCAAGTAAAGAAACATTTTTCTTTTGCAACTGTGCTTGTCAACGTCCTGGATGATAATGATCACACACCTCAGTTTATGTTCCCAAGAGTGAACTGTGTTGTTCCAGAAAACCTGCCTGTCTCCTCTACACTATGTACTATAAATGCTTTAGATTTTGACACAGGTCCTTATGGAGAATTGACATACTCTATTTTGTCACCCTGTTTTAGCACTCATGGACAAGCACATGATCACCATCATGATCTCTTCCTCATTGATCCATTTACTGGAGATATCTATGCTAAACAAATCCTCGATTATGAACTTAAAAATAAATACTGCCTCACAGTTCAGGCGAAAGACAAAGGTGATTCAACAGCCTCTTTAATGGTGTGGGTAGATATTGAAGGGATAGATGAATTTGAACCCGTTTTCACACAAGATCAATATTTTTTCAGTCTTCCAGGCAAGAGTAAAATAAGACAGTTGATTGGCAGGGTGGAAGCATCAGATGCCGATGCTGGTATCGATGGAGTCATTCTTTACTCCCTGGGAACCTCCTCACCGTTCTTTTCAGTAAATAAAACTAACGGGAATATCTATTTGACTAGAGCCCTTCCGCAAATGAAAAATCCAGTTAGCAAAGAAGACATCATTGAAATGAACATAATCGCTCACAGCCCCAGACAGGACTCAAAATTTGCATCTTGCACTGTTTTTGTAAATGTGTCCTTTCCCCCGGAAGGCAGACATTCAACGATAATGGCCAACAGTTTCTCAGTTAGCCTTACGGTGTCTTTTCTAGTGTTTCTGCTGCTGGTACTCATTCTTATTATACTGCTTTTGAGACACAAACAAAACGATCCAATAAGCAATTATGAGGAAAAGAAAACCTCCTCTTCCTCAGGCGTCAATTTGAGATTGACCCGGGATACCAGCATGCTCAAGGCCTTCCAGACAATGAAGGATGGTAACAATGCGGTGATGCCTGTGAACTCCATGCCTGAGTGGCTGGGTTTAATGAGCATCATGGAGGAGGATATACGACATCTGTATAGTCACTCAAATTCCAGTGCCCACTGTTCTGTGGAAGGAGAAACTGCAGAAGATAAAGAAATCCAGAGGATAAATGAGCACCCATACAGGAAGGACTCTGGTTCAGTTCTGAATGATCGGGATTCTAGAGGGCCAGACTCTGGAATCCCCAGGGACTCAGACCAGCTTTCTTATTTATCTGGAGAAACTGACCTGGCAGTCACTGTGGACAAAGCAGAAAACAGCCATCCATTGGAGGAAGTGGGTGGAGAAGGTCATGGCATAGCCTACATTCGAAATGATGTGTTACCTTATATATTTCAAAAGAGGGTGTCAAAAGAGGGCATCCTGGCTGATGCTAGAAAAGAATACAGACTGAATCCAGGTGAACATGAGGCAAGAGGCACAGCTTCTTCCACTGATATGACCCCTGATCATTTTGTGAGAGTCAGTGGTTCTTGGAATCATCTCCTCGGTTGGGAGCCCAAGTTTCAATCTCTGGCTTCCGTTTTTAATGATATTGCAAAACTGAAGGATGAACATTTGCATATTCCTGGTGTTGCCAAGGAGAATCAATCTTTTGTTTTCCCACCACCTTTAATAACAGCAGTAGCCCAGCCTGGGGTTAAAGCAGTGCTACCTAGAATGCCAACTATCACCCCAGGGCAGGTGCTTCCGAAGGACCCGCGCCCTCCTGTGCTTGACCATCTCAGTTCTCGTCCAGAAGCCATGACCCCTAGCTTTTCTCCATCTCTTTCCCTATTGACCACACAGACTCCAGCTATGTCTCTGCTGTTGTCAAAGTCAGAATGATTAGGAACACACATACGTGGTACATGCCAGGACGAGAAAGCAGAAGATGAAATCTAAATATGAAACGACTGAGAACCCAGGCACCCACATTCCATCAGTCATCCATCAGTGGATGATCACTTCAGCGAGTGTCTCAACCTTGGGAGATTCTGATCGCAGAGAAAGTGATGTAATCTTCACAGTGGGTGGTGGTTTGGGTCATCCCCATTTAAATAGTTTGAATTTCTTCCGTCCTTAAAGAGAAATGACTTCCTCTTTGAATCTTTATGATTTCCTCAGGATTCAATCCTTGCCTATGTCGAGTAGTGTATATTCTGTCATACCTGGTTTTCTGTACAATTAATTCTCCAAGAGAGGCAGGGAACTTAGTGGACTGCCAAGCTGTTGATGTGAAAAGAAATAGAAATAACTTATGGTGCTCAGGGGTCATATCACACTTGGTGAGACTTCTGTATTTAAAGCAAGTCAATAAAATTGAGAAGGGAATAAATATAGGACCCAGGGTAACAGAGAGTAACAAAGGTTTCGCAGGTAAGTTCATAACATTTTCAAGGTTAGGGCACATTCTGGGGCTCTGACCTATTTAGAGAGACTTTTCTTCTTCACTTTCCCTGTACCACATACTTATGAAATTTACTCATAATCTGAATTTCAAGGTGGTGTCTTTTGAAAAATCGGATGAAAATTTAAGAATGAGATGTTCCCCAACTCTTCCAATAGGGAGAAAATATTTTAAATCATTCTTGATTAAGTAAACCAGATGTACATGTTCTTTATACAGAACTATGATTGATAATAGCAATATGTATGTGGTTGACTGCCACCCAAAATACGTTTCCTTTGCCTTATTTTCAAGTAGCATGACAGTATTTTCAGTACTCAATTTTATGACAAAATACATCCACAGACATTAGCTATGAAGATTAATTTATGAAAAAGTTTCATTTTAGTTTGTTCTGGACACAGTTATTTTCAGTAAGAAGTAATTTATGCACTCAATGTCCGTTAAAAGGTTTGTGTACATAAAATTATGTTGTTAGCTAATTATAAATTTCATAGAGTAATTTAGCAATATATTTTGAAGTGAAGATTTTTATATAAATTTTGTTACTCTAAAGGTTACGAAAGAATGGAAGTCAAAAGACTCTTCCATTTGATTATATTCATGCTTAGCTTTAGCTGTCATTATGGACTCGTTTACTAACATGGTTACAAGAATTCTGTTTTGTACAGCTATTGTTTTAGAAATATATTAGTGCTTAAGTATCATGAAGTCGGCTTCCCTCTGGGAGCCCAAGTGTCCATCCATGAGCCTTATTCCGTTCAGGAAGGCAGAGAGCACAGTGATGTTGATAGTCCAGAAGTCATCCTCCTGTGTAGGCACCATGGTCAGATTCTGGAATCACAGTTTTAGAACCCTAATGTGAAATCTGGTGTGGGTTCCTCATTAAAGTAGGTTTCTGCTATAGGAAAACATTTCTTTATGCCTTTTTCTGTAGGCCTCATCTGCAAAATTATACAAAATAATCCATTTATCTTTACTAAGAATCCATGGAACATTCAATGTTTGATACTTCATTCAATGTTTGGTATATCATTCAATTTTTCATTTTATAGATGAGTTATTCTAAGACTTTCTGCCTCCATATTTCCCATTACATATCATTGTTGGCTCTGAACTTCAGAACAAGTTTGTATAATCCCTGTGAATCAAATGTCTATTATCTGGCACCTAACAACAACAAAGATAGTAATATGACACATGAAAACTTTTGAAGAAGCCTGAAATCCTAGGGAAAGTCAAGTGAAACATTAAGTATTATAAGACTGATATACATTGATGCACACTTTCCCCCCACCCCCCAAGAAATCTGGGAAGAAGAATTCATGACTTTTGTATTAAAAATACATGAAATCAATATTTATTACCTCTGACTCCCTTCAAAAGATTTTCTTGAACATGTCAAAGAAAGGCTGTTGTGATTTTATTTCTATTGATATATGGAAGTTTTGCTTTGTAATATATTTTGTTGCTTTTACTTACTTTTGTCACTTTTACATACGTGTCTGCATTTACTTATGTTTAAAAACAGTTATCCACGTAACTTAGTCCCCTAAGTTATTTGCCTGCGATTGATTACTTTTTGGACATGAGTCTGCATTTTTTTCTAGATCTTTCAAAAGAACAGAAGACTTGAAGTATTTAGAAACTGTTTTTTACCAATGTCTAGTGAATGTTCATTTGATGACTTTATTAATACTGTCCCCAACATCAAAACACCACCAAAGAAGTGGGACTAGGGGTAAAACAACAACATGTGAACATGCTGGTTAAGTGTTCACAATAAATCATTTGTCAGCTCTTTCAACTAGAGTGCTTTTTTCCTAAGTAAACAATGTAATTTGTAGAGTTCTCCTTCAAGTTTCATATTAACTTGCCTCATCTATTCTGTATTACTTTTCGGATCTGCACAACAGGCTGAGCTCTTTGGAGAGGGTACAGAACTTATTACTGGAAAATCATATTAAGCCCGGATTTCATAAGCTATAAAATACGAGACAGTTGTCTATTGTGGAATTTTAGATGCCTGAAATTCTGGACTTTCTTGTTGGCAGCCTTAGAAATACTGGTGTAAATCAGTACCAAATGGATATCAAAATTCCATGTAATCATTACATTGGTTTCCAAACAGATTCCTGGCCAAATAAAAGGGGAAACTGTTGTTTCTTTAGTGAATTGATCACTGACTATTTAGAAAAAATATTAGCATGCTTTATAAACTACTGGCTGCCTGCATGCATACATATGTGTAGTGCATACTTGATGTCCATCTGGAAGAGGTGTGGGTGTCTCAACACCTTCATACTCTATTTTAGAGTCCATCTTACAGTGTCTTCTAGGATTATAACTACAAAAATTAATCCATCATGTTAATGTTATTTTCAGCCTTTTTCATGACATCATTT